TTCCTTCCTTCCTTCCTTCCTTCCTTCCTTCCTTCCTTCCTTCCTTCTTCTCTATACATCCACCTCAATTTTTGACAGCTATCAGAGCTTTTCTTCCCCCATGAACATGACTGAATTATGCCCATTCCCACCCATCTCCATTTTGTCCAAATAAATTAAACCCCAAACTTCAGTTGGTACCAAAATTGAAATAAATATCTGCAAGAAATAAATTAAAAAGTCAACCCCAAGGAAGAATCTTCCGTGGCCTGTTTGTTAAGAAAACAAGAGCAAGAAATTAAAAAGTCCCCCTGCCTTTTCTTCCTTTTCCGGCATCCAAAGTTCTTTGCTGGAATTGAAATTTGTTCATTTGTTCTACTTATCTTATGGAATCATAGGTGCATTATATTCCTCTGGAGAATTCTTTCTACCTTTTATTGGTAGAAATTAAAGAATGAAATGAGAGCAATGTGCCTCTCCTCTGTGTAAGCAGCCACATATTTGAGTCCTCACCGGGAAAGATTTGAGCCACATCAAAATGTCTCATCCTATTTGAGTTTTTCATCCTTTCTGCTGAGCTGCATTTTCAAAGATAGCTTCATGGTTTTCCCTGGAGCACCCGGATCCCGCTTACAGAATTTCTGACTCCCCACTTAAGGTTTGGGCCCAAATTCATCAGGCTCTGGCCCGCGGGACACATCTAGCATCTCCAGGAATGCCAAGGTGAGTCCCTGAAGGGACCAGAGAAATGACAGAGACAAACCCTGGTGGAGGAATTAAGATGGGCCATGCCTGGAAAAAGGGGATGGAGACAGGGTTGGAGAGAAAGCTGGATTCATTCAGTTCATTCCTCAAAGTGGCTGGCAGGGAGTGCTCAAAATCCAGTGCTCTCAGAACTGCTTCGGCTGTTGTAGCTTGGACTGCGGCTCTGGGTGCGAGTCCGGCTCCTGCTGCTGCTGTAGCTGTCATAGCTGCGGCTGCGGCTGCGACTGTAGGAGTAGCTGGTAAGTGAGCTGGAAGAGGAAGGGCTGGGTCGATAGTAGGGGATTGGACGCTTCCGAGCACTGGGGGAAGAAAAAGAAAGAGTCTCATACCTTGGCAATAATAACAATAATATGAAGTGGATGGAACTGAATGGGGAGAGAGCGTTGGCTTTAGCACAGAGGACAGCTTTAAAAACTTGGAATGGAGGACAGCACTGATGATCATGATATCACCACATTAACTTTGAATTCTTAGGAGTGTTGTGTCAAGTCTGCTCACTTCCCATTCATTTTTTTAAACTGAAATTTCTTTTCTAAAATAAAGTCAGATGGGATATACAGCAGATAAATATGATCATACATAGAAGTCTTCTAAAGGAGTTTCAAATGTTCAGTTCATAATTTATTTATTTATTTTAATGCAAACAATGAAGAATAGAATCTGTAATTGTTTAAGATTAAACTACAAAGTTTGCAGATTTGTTCCTTTTTTATCTGGTGTGTACGGACTAAGTGGACTTGTAACTCCTCCTAAATACCTCCTCTTATTAAACTGGACTCCTCAGTGCTAAAGCTGCTGCCCCACCAGTAGTTAGTCCTGGATTAGCCAGCTAAAACAAACAAATGTGAAAGAATTAATAGTGTTTGTGATTTGCTGGAGACACTGGAGAATTAAAGCTGTAAAAAACAGAGGTTAGATGTTAGTTAGAAGCAGTCTTTTTTTCCTGGAAGCAGCCCTGCCTCACTCTAAAGAAGTATTATTTCCTGGCCAAAAGCCCACCCATAATCGTCCACATAATTAAAGTCCTAGGAGATGCAGTAGACTAATTATAAACATTGAATACAGTCCCAAGCCAGGATATATATATATATATAAGTTAAATATAATTTCAAGCCTGTTAATTTTGGCTGAAAGAATCACTGATCTAAATCACGGGATCTTGAATAAAGGCTCAGTAGAAACAGTTGGGAGTATCCTGGATCAGGCATGCTTTGATTGCATTGAATAAGACAATTAAAAGGGTGTATACTGAATATACTGGGAGTGGCATGAAATCAGTTAGATTGTTGGGTGTGCCCTTCTCTGGACATTAGTATGGGTGAAACTGCCTTCAGTCACTCCAATAAATCTTCAGATTCCTCCAGTTTCAGATAGCCTGGCACATGCACCTCAGCTCAGTGTCATTCTGAACTTTTTAGAATCCATTTGAGTTTTCCATTACTTTTTTGTGTGGCAGGCCAGTTTAGATATCCCTATAGATGATATACAAGGGATATCTTTATTCTGAATGTATCAAAGATTTCTACTAAAGCTAGGCTTACAGTACCTTTATGTTGCACAATGTTGAGAAATCAACTCTCTCTCTTGGGCTGGGCCCCAATTAATGGCTAATCAATGCTGCAAGATGTGCCCAAATTGCTTAGACAGCCTGGATATATATTAAATTGCCCCCAATTGCAATAGGAAGTCAATTAGTTGTTTTGTTCAACATAGATTTAGACCTAAGGAAATCATTTGATGCCTTGGGAATGTTTGGTATACAATAATGATTAAGGTATCAGGCTAGAAACCAGGAGACCGTGAGTTCTAGTCCTGCCTTAAACATGAAGCCAGGTGAGTGACCTTGGGCCAGTCATATCCTCTCAGCCCTAGGAAGAACGGCAAGTCACTTCTGAAATCTTTCCAAGAAAACTTCAGAAACTAATCCAGGCAGTCGCCAAATGTCAATACCGACTCATGTATCATCTTCAGCAATAGACATTTTCTTAAGAGAATATTTTTCATATGAAAAAGGAGTGGAAGAGAAAATAATTCTTTATATCACTTCAAAACTTACCTCTGTTTTCAATATTTTGCCCTTACTGACTATGAACATAAACCAGTCAGAGATCATAGAATCAGCATTATGTTATAGTGCCAGATTTAATTTGACATGTGATAAAATCACACAGCCTGATCAGAAGGAGGGCCACGTTTCCTATTTTTTGAAATTCAAAACATTTCACCTTTTTGACAAATTGTCACTACAGTATGGAGATAGAGAAATTTCCCAGGAGGCAATTTTTAAAATATGTGAAAAATGTAGCCCTTTTTCCATCCAGTCCTCTAATCTTAGAGGACAAGAAAAAATCCCATTCTTCCCATCTGCAGCCAGATAAACTTCTCCTGATGTCGAAACGTGAAGGTGAAGCAATGCCCTGTGGAGAACATGAAATGTGTGAGGAAGATAGGAGGGTCTAGAAAGAAACCAGGCTGTTTCATCAACACCAAACCCATCTATAATTTCTTCATGCCATTAGATACCAATCAAAGCAACACTTGAACTATTAGATATACTCATCATCCTAGCTTCATTATTAATGAGAAAAGAGAGAAAGAGAGACGACAGGCAGACAGAAACAGAAGTGATAAAGCATAGCTCTACAAAGATTCACAAAGTGATGGATTCAAGGACACACAGCAGGTTTCTGATGGAAGGGAATGTTACCATGGTAACCCAGCCCTGCAGCTATGGGCTTCACTTGAAGTTTCTTCAGGAAGAACCTTGAAAGAGGATGGAAAAGGAGAGATTTGCATCTTTAACAGTGGGGACAGCAAAGCAGAAGACAGTAAGAACATGGGGAATTGGTAGGTGAAGGGAGTTACATTTGCACAAGAATAATAGAGCTCAGTTGCCTTTTAGATTTAACTAAAGGTTTTCATCAATCTACAAAGCTGAACCTCCTTCCAATAGTGAGCTTGAGGGAGTAGTGATTATTAAGGAAGTAATAAGGAAGTGGCTTTTAAATATTTTGCATTGTAGGCATCATGTATGCAGAAAAAGGTTAACTTGTGAATCAAAATATTTTATTTACTTATGTAAAAAAAATGTAAATCAATGTGCTACCCATCTGCCCAATAAGTTGACAGTGGCCAGCAGAGGTGGTATTCAGCAGGTTCTGACCAGTTCTGGAGAACCGGTAGCAGAAATTTTGAGTAGTTCAGAGAACTGGCCAATACTACCTCTGACTGGAGATTTTACAGTATCCTTCTCCTGCCACGCCCACCAAGCCACCCCCACAGAACCAGTAGCTGACTGGTCAGCTTATTATTTGATTAGAAAAACTCCCAAATTCCTTGATAATAACTTATGAGTTTGTACAGTGCTGGTGGCAATTGAAGAGAGGAAGAAGGGAGGAAGAAGAGGCAGAGAGGAGTGAAGTTAATTTTAAGGCACACTTCCCCAATCTGATGTCCTCCAACTATGCTGCAGTAAAAATCCCATTATCCTATCACATTGACTGAGGCAAATAGGATTTTCAGTCAGAGCGATCTGGAGTAGTCTGAGTTTGGAAAGGCAACTAAAGCAATTACATCAAACCAATATTGTGAATGAATGCATTAACTTTACATTTAACTTTAGTTTGAATCATGGTTTACTTCTATGTAATTTGGGAAAGAAAAAAAAAGAATGTGGAAGGAAGAAGGAAGGAGCAGACTGACTGACTCTCTGTAATAACCATCTTTGGAATGTGTCCCCCTGAATATGTTTCCTGTGTATTTTCTACACAGAAACACAACTGACAGGTTAATGCAGAAAGTCAAGGTCTATCAGACATTTCAGACCAAAGCTTTTAAGGCTGGTTTCTCAATCATAGCTGCTTGAAGATATGTGGACTTTTTCTTTTTTTAAGGAATAGTCAACTTAGTACAGATAGTCCTCGACTTACAACCATTCATTTAGCGACTGCACAATGTTACAACAGCACTGAAAAAAGTGATGTATGACAGATTCTCGCACTTATGATCAATGCAGCACCCCCAAATTACATCATTCAAATTCAGGTGCTTGGCGACCATTATGTATTTACTAGGGTTGTAGTGTACCAGGGTCATGTGGTCACAATTTGTGACCTTACCAGCTAACTTCCAATAATGCAAAGTCAATGGAGGAAGCTGAATTTACTTAACAACTATGTGATTCACTTAACTGATGTGATTCACTTAACAACTCTTGCAGAAAAGATCATACAATTGGGCACAACTCACTTAGCAGCTGCCCTGTTTAACAACAAAAAAATCTGGTCCTAATTGTGGTTATAAGTCAAAAACTATCTGTATGCCAGGCAAAGCAAAATCTTTTCTAGACAAAGAATTCAATAGGCATGCAGGACTCAAATACACGTGCAAATTGTGAACAAAGTCAGGTTCGGGCTGACTGGAGTTAGACATTATACCAGAGGCAAGTTCAAGAGAAGAGTGAAAAAAGATAAGCTTTAGTTATCTCTTCTGCTGGAAACTCTAACCTCCTTTACCCTAATAGATGTCTGAATGTATCTCAAGCCCCCAATGCCTCTTCTTCTTCCTCTGTAGATGCCTATGTTTCCAAGATACCTTTCAGAGATAAAAAGATTTTAAATGCTAGATAATTTAAATAAAAATGTTTCCATTAATGCCAATATTATCTGTATACCAGGAGTGGGATTCAAAGTTTAAATAACCAGTTCTGTGGGTGTGGCTTAGGTGGTGCACGTGGCTTGGTGGTCATGTGACTGGGTGGACATGGCTTGGTGGTCATGTTATTGGCTGGGCATGGCCAACTCAATATCACTCACATCGAGTCACGCCTCTCCTCGCCTGGCCTCTCATGACTGTGGGGATGCTGCAACAGTTGTAAGTGTGAAAAATGGTCATGTCACTTTTTTCAGTGCCATTGTAACTTTGAATGGTCCCTCCACACAAGCAAAGTACCAGCAAAGGAGGTGAAAATAACTCCAGAGAAGTTCCTGAGACAGGAAGTCTAGTCCTGCCAAGAATGTAATAAGGGTTAACGGAGAAGCAGTTTCTGTAAGCAACACCAGAATGTTTCCTTCCTGCCTTCCTTACAGGATTTGGCCAGTAATTTCTTCTAACAACCGGTTCTCTGAACTGCTTAGAATGTTTACAACCGGTTCTAGCGAATAGGTGCGAACTGATAGAAACCGACCCCTGCTGTATATATCATTATACAAATTTCTGAAATTATAAGACGGTAACATTTAGCTAAATTTCACAGTCATCTTTACTTGTTTTGTCTCAGTATGAGTTGAAGTTTAATTCTGAAACCATGCCTAAGGTTTATTTTTGGAATTCTTTCAATTTTATTTATTTATTTAATTTATTAATCAAATTTCTACACTGCCCATCTCACCTAAGTGACTAGGTGGTTTTCAAACATTTTATTAACGCTGAGATAATGTTCTGGCCTATCTTCTTTTTATGATGATTTTACTCTGTAGACTCTAACCCCAAACAGATAGAGATAAATTTGCCAATGCAAATTTCTTGGCTTAATTGTACTAGTTATTAATGTCAACTTTCTTCAATATAGTCTGTTTTTTATATAACTGCTATTGTTAGTATAATGTTTTCAGATGTGTATATTGGTTTTTTAGCTGCAGACTTTAGACTGAAGAATATTCATGTTGTCAATCTTTTAGGATATTTTTCTGTATGAAGCAGATCATGTAAATCTGTCTCCAGTGAAATCTGAGTGCTGGGCATATGCAGCATTGTTACCTCTGGAAAGTAGATGTTTGGAAAATACAGATCAAGGAATTTTTAAATCACTAGGTAGGACCAGATTTCTGAAAATTTCAGAGAATGCTTTAATTCTTCTGAAATCAGTTTGCATTTGCACACTTTACAAATTTTCAGACCAGCAATTATCTGCCATGGACTCTGCAAGCATTTTATTTTATTTTTGAAATTTTTTATTCTACATTCTGTTTGCAAAAGAATTTTATGAAACTCAAATGCTATTTTCCAAGATTTGCTGTAAATAACAAATTTTGGCCCCCATGTTCAGGGGCTTCCCATAGGAATGGAGAATCTAATATTTACCTAGTGATTCTTCTAGGCTCCATGAAACTTGGAGAATCACGCCTTCTCTTTCTGATGGGGGAATAGCTGCGGGAACGTCGCCGGGCACGGGTTGGTTCTGTGTCACTATGACGTGTTCGTGGCTCATTGTCCTTCTCTCTAGTAGTTAAAAAAAACACATTTACATGCTACTTCCATAAGTATTTAAGACACTCTGGACTTGAGGAGTTCAGGTTATGAGATTGTGGTCATCCTGGGCTATGCATTGTAGGTAAAATAATAATCGAGTTCCCACCAGGCCTATAAACAAACCCACACTGTAGCATGGATATAACATTTATTCTACATGTTTATGTACTGTCTATGTCCAAATGTCTCTCCTTGTTTATAAAATATTAATGTGAAAACAGCACTGCAAAAGGCAGATATTCTACTATTGCCTGAAAAAAAAATATTTCTGAAAAAATAAATAAATAAAACCAATATGTAAATATTGAATTATTTTATAAAAAAAGAGCAACTTTTACCCTAAATCAGGCAAAGCAGGCAGGCAGATTGAGTTGCTCACAGAATCACAGATTCATTCAGAGATCTATCTTTCTGCCATTGGCTACCTGAGTCTGCACTGAATAATAGAAGCTTCAGTCCTAAGGAAGGTTTGGCTCTGCTTAAGATCTAAAGATTAGCTAGAAAGCAAGAAAACCAACGATTTCCTGCTTTCTAGCTAATCTAAATCTTCGGCACAGCAGAACAGCTGATGGTCAGGAAAAAAAGAGGAAAAAATAGCAACTTAGCAGGCAAGTTTGCCAGGTAAGGAGTGAGTGGGCGGGGAGGGTTCCCGCAGGCCATGTGGGTAGCACAACCTTGTGTTCCTGAGCAGCCTGGATTAATTGCTTTGGGGGGTGCTCAGGGGGTGACATTTCTCTGTGGACCATCAATTTTTTTCATGGACCACTAGAGGGCCGCAGCCCACTGTTTGGCAACCACTGATCTAGTCCAACCCCCTGCCAAAGCGGGAGATCCTACACCATTACTGACAAATGGCAGTCCAATCTCTTCTTGAAAGTCTCAAGTGATGACGCTCCCACAACTTCTGAGGGCAAACTGTTCCATTGGTTGATTGGAATAAGCAGCTCATTACCGTTATTACCGTTAACTCCTTCCTAATATTTTTCAGAGTATATGCTTGATGTAGATTGTAGGGTGCTTCAGTTTTGCAAGATTCTATGTATAGGCGTAGAAAAATTAAAAAATCTGCTTGGAAGAAACATCACGCAACTTTCTTGGCTTTGAGGCCTCACACAGCCCTTAATTTCCAAACACCACCAGAACAGCAACAGGGTCTCTTCTTAAAGGACCATAACTCACACCAGATGAGCATGCAACTCACCAGGAAGGGCTCTGTTAAAAACTGCAATTACCACTGTTTTCTCCATTCTGCAAACTGAGAGGAACAGGACAGAGTAGACCAAATATATTTATATTTTGAACCAAGTATTATGTGTACAAGTATTAATTAATGGAAGAAGCATAACAAGAGTCTTGAATTTGTTCCTCAGTTTGTTGTGCACTCAAAATGCATAATTGTTAAAAGGAATGTACTTCAAATCATAGTATGAGCAAAGAAATTTTAAAAGCAATGAAAAGGTATGCATTAAAAATGATCCTAAAGTTCTTAGGCAAGACTATCACTTTCCCTATCTTGTTAGAAGTAGGGATTGCAGCCTCCATACCTGCTGCTTGTTGTTTTTTTCTGTGATCCCGATCGAGTCCTGCTGCGTCCAGCTCTCTTCTCCCGAGATCGGGATCGGGATTTTGATGGAGACTGACTAGAGCTCCAGGAACTGCTTCGAGATAGACTCCTCCTTCGTTCAGAATTGTGTCTGGAGTGTTTGACTGAAGTCGGAGAACAACTATGTGGTCTTCCCCGGTGGTGCCTCTCTTTTGCCCTAAAAGATGCAGTGGGTTAAGATTTAAAAGGCCGCAAGTTCAAATCCATGCAAAGGTATGGACACAAAATATGTTACCTTTTAAGGACCTAAGGAAAAGCCTATGAATTAGAATACAGATCAATCTAATTCGGCAGATACTCCCACTTCCTGTAGTTGCCACAGCAGTTCTCCTGACTTGCACCCTCAGCTGTTTTCACTTATTGAATCTGGAAGTTCAATTTTGTATTGGTCAAAAACAGCTGATAATCTAATTTTTAGTTATTCAGTATGTTACTCAAGTGCATTACACTTGCATATTTTCTCAGATGCTGTATGTGTCAGCAAAAAAAGAGATTGCTATTTAGATCTCTCTTTCCTAATCTGATGGTTTCATATATGCTGGGATGTTAACATCTCAAGATTTTCCATAGAAAATGTTGGTTGTTGGAGCCTCAACACATCTGAAAAGTACCAATTTGGCAAATTTGCATTACATTTGTTTTAGAAGAGATGCAAACCCGAATACAGATATCTTATTATCTGTACATGCCATTTGCTTCACTCATACTAAATGCTTTCCAAAGAACTGATATGAATTCTACTAACTTTGTGAACAGAATGGGATATCTTATTTAAATAAACCCTTAGATCATTAGAATGATCACCCAATGGCCACTGAATACTACTGTGGACTTCTTTCCCATGAAAGGAAAAGCCAGTTGTATTCTCTACCAATATCTTCCATAGAAAGACATGGGTGCCAGAAACAGGTATGGGAAGAAGGTGGACAATACGACCTGTGAACAGCTACTTCCTCTTTTGATTCTGCCTGTTTCCTTGATCTGAAGCAGGGGTGGGTTTCTACCAGTTCTGTCCACTCTGTAGAACCAGTAGCTCTGAAGAGCAGCAGACACAGAGAACCAGTTCTATGTCTGCTGATGTTTTGGCCCACCCACTCACCTGGGCTCTTACCTGAACTTTATTTCCTGATTTTTTTTCAACTTCAGCTGCCGTGCGAGGCACAGCTGCAGTTAAAAAAAGCAGGGGGAAAAAGGGCTTTTTGAAAGGCTGCTTCTCTGCACGCAGCATGCTGATGACGATTTACAGGCGAGCACCAGCAGCATGCAGGGAAGCACATTGTAAATCACCGAACCTTGTAAATGACCGAACTGGTAGTCGGACCCCACCCCTGATCTAAAGGTTATTTAAATCTAGTCAATGACCAAAGTAACGCACTGGTTTTGAATAGGCACCCTTTAGATATTCTTGAAGGATGTAAGCTTATTATTGTTAATATTGATCATCGCACAGTCAGCCAGATGTACAGACTGGGTTTGGCATTTTTGTTTACCTATCGAGTCCTTACCAAGGACCTGGGATAGGCAGATCTGGATGCTTGATGGTGTTACAGATATCATTGCAGGATGGAAGTTGTTCCCAGTAAAGCCACCTTTTGCAAATGACTGATGGCAAATTTGTCAATACCAGTGGTGTTCAAGTGGTACTCCAGTTGTTTTGGGCTTGCAACCTATTACTATTGATACTACTCCTACTTGCCTTTGCCACAGTCATTCTACTTCTGTTTGTATTTTGTTATCTTCTCCTTTCTTTATTATTATTATTATTATTGATTTAATATCCAATTTGATTCACAGTTGGGGATTGGTAAAAACCTGAAACAGTTCAAGTCCTAAGAGATTATTATTATTATTTCCAAGGGTGGGATTCAAATTTTGTAACAACCGGTTCTGTGGGCATGGCTAGGTGGGTGTGGCTAGGTGGGTGTGGCCATGTGCCTGGGTGGGTATGGCTTTTTTTGCAGCACCTCCCCCCATTTTTTGGACCTTCTGGGCCTCAAGAGAGCCTCCTGGGAGACGTTTTTGCTCCCAGAAGGCTTCCCTGAGGCCCAGGAAAGCAAAAAATGGAGGGAGGCGGATTTTTTGCCTTCATGGGCCTCAGGGAAGCCTTCTGGGCAAAGCAGTAAGTAAGTGAGGAGAATCCTGGCACAGCTGATCATGGGAACAGCTGATCATCGGGAGGGGAAAAAACGGTATACCTTAAGGAGTGACTGGGCGGGGAAGAACGCAATCAATGATGTCTGGCATATGCGTGATATTGTGCATGTACGATAAGGACTGACTGGGAGGGGAGGGGTGGGCAGAGATGGGTGGAGCCAGCTAGGGGCACGATTTGCCGGTTCTCCGAACTGTGCAGAATCATAACAACCGATTCTATAGACCCAGTGTGAACTGGTAGAATCCCACCCCTGGTTATTTCAGAGAAAATGAACATGTTGGATAGAGAGGATGGAGACAGTGAAGAAGCCTGTCATCTTGTTTGTGATCTTGCTGGGAATTTCTCACTTGCAGCTGAAAACATAGGACAGTCAAAAATGTCAGGAGGTATGATAGCCATATACATATCACCAAACAACAGGGCAAAGAGCATACATATTTATATAGAAGTGCAAATGCTAATTTGTAGGAATAGATTCAAATGTGGAAAGAATTAAGTCTGTCGCACCATCATTCATTCCATTGTATCACTCAAGGCACTGAGTGATTGAACTCATTAATAGCTCTTTATAAAGGTATTTTATCATGGTGCCAGAATTAAGGAGAGATGGAACTAGGAGTTGAGAGAGCTTTAAAATGAATATGATGTAAGGACAACCAAAAAAGAATACCTAATGAAAAACAGAGTGGGGAAAAGGCAGTCAAGCAATCTAATTTTGTTTTGATAATTAAGTAGTTGACACATTTTCTAAACCTGTGTTCACCTTTCAGGTTGGAATTAAATTCTCACAAAAAGGAAAGTTCCTTTATAAAGCTATTCCAATTCAATTTTTGAGAGGACAGAGCTGTTTCCATCAGCAGGATGTGGAGCAGAATTTTATCTTAACATCTGGTGTGCAAAGAACGGGAAGAAAACAGAATATTTCAGGATTTTCAGCATATCTATGTTTCCTGGGGAACTTTTATCTTAGGATGGCTGACATATATACCACTGTAGATGAGGATATTATCTGCAAGTGGTAGTACTCGATTATTATAATTATAATAATATAAATTATTATAATTTAAATTTAAATCTATCTTGCTGTGGTGACTAATCAGGTGACCCATATGTCTAGATAATCTGCTGTCTAAAATGTCATTGTGGGACATTTCGAATCTCTTTGTTTCTATTATTCTTTATCTTTAAATCAGGCTTGTTCTGGCCATTGCTCCAAATAATGTAGTGTCTTTGAAAACAGGATATACTTTACATAAATTCCTTTCAAAGGGAATTTTAAAAAGTTTAAGAACTGTAATCAATCCTCAAGGATTTTTTTTCAAAACAGACGGTCTTTTATTTTTGGGGTCTGGAGTACACAAAACCCATTTTTGCAAATTTGTACTGAATCCAGGAATGTGACTTACGTAAAAAACATTTTTGCTCAACTCAAAATGTTGGCCGTCAAAAGCTACCCATTTGCCACTGAGATACAGCTAAACTCAATCCCAGATAGAATCTAATCCAAAGAGGTATTCCTGACTACAGGGTTGGATGCTTGAATTGAACTATTCATTCATGCACTGAGCTAGTCATACATGCACCACAATCTTTGGCTCTTACGTTTTCAGATGTACCCTGTGGTTCTTTTCTGCCCCGGTTGTTGCGTGGTATTGATGTGAATAGGTAGACCCTTCTGAGTCACTGCTATATCCTGTATGGCTGACCGACCAGGATGATTCCTTGCTTGCAGAGGTTTTGGCCCTGCGACGCCCTTTGCGCTTGTGTTTTGATGTGGATCTGGTGTGACGCCTGTGGGAGGGTTTGTCTCCTCCAGAGCATCTCCCTGGGGATGTGGACCTCCGGGGGGTCTTGGCCCCATGTTTGTTCCCCCTGCTTTCTTTGGCGTGGAGCGATAGGGTTTCGGTCTTTATGTGCCCTTTGGCTGAAGGCGACAGGGAACCCAACCTCTGGTAGAATGAAAAAAAGGGAGCGAGCAGGAGGGGGAAAAAGAAAGAAAAAGGAGAGGAGAGGTTTTTAAAAGAAACCCCCCACCAACAAGGAAAGCTGCAGTACACAACGGCAATGCACAATGATTGAATAAGGCAGGCTACACAGAAACTACTCTGCACCTCGATCCCCTGTTCAATCTCTCGTCCTTAAACAACGCAGCTCATGCAAATCTCTGGCATGCAAAACAGAAAATGAACCAAAACCAAATGTAAATAGGAGGGAAAGTTCAATCGGGAGGAGGGAATCACCTTGGAAAAATGAAATTACATGATATATAATTTTTGTAATGATTTAAAATGATATTTAAAAAGAGAGAAAGGGGAGGATGTGGACGAGGGAATATTATGGGATGAAGAAAGGATTAGAAACAGGGGTCCAAGTGTGGGGTTGGATTAAAAAAAAATATTTGTTGATAGCCAATCGAGGAGTAGAAGACAGAAGTATGGGGAGGAACATGGTGGTGTAAATGATGGAAGGGGAAAGGGATGGTGTGGGGGGGGGGGAGGAAACAAATTTTAAACAAAAAGGAAACTCCACAAATGTCATCAGTACTGAAAATAAACAAAGAAAAGTTTCTGAACTCTTCCTGGGTTTTGAACTTTGTGCAGAGTCTCCACCAGCGTTCTATTCTCTTTTATTTCTCTTTAAATTTCACTTTATAATATTTTTGTTAAATTACCACTTTTTTTAAGTCCCTCTTGGTTAACGTCCACTTACCAAGAAAGTGGCATTTCCTCCTTTAGTAGGTAAGGTATGAAGAGAAGGGAAAAGTTGGGCAATATAAGTGAATCATTAGATTGACAAAAATGCAAGAGAGAAAGAGAGAGAAAGAAAGAGAAAGAGAGAGAGAGAGAAAGAGAGAAGAGAAATAAAAAAACAAAACCACCCTTGTCTCCTAGGGCCTTGCAGCAAACAATTAGGGAAAAGAGGGAAACAATCTCTCTGTTCCTCTCTCTGGGTCAATTATCAGAACTGGATTTCTATTTGGCTCCTTTAAAAAAAAAAACCTCCAAGAACTGGTCTTTGTGCCTTGACTTACTTCCCATGGAGAAGCAATGACAACATGGGGGTGATGAGGATTTATTTCTTTATTTGGAGAGTTGAATATGATTGGTTTTCTTATTAAACCCAACCAACAATGTGGTTTCCATCCAGATTTGGAATATGAGAAATTTGTAATCCCCAGACCTGAAGCAGGAAGCCCTTGTCTGCTGAAGATTTGAAGCAGTTTCTCTCCTTATCCTGATGTTTCATTCTGTCTCTGATCCTGAGCAACCAGGTCTCCTAATTCAAAACTTCTCTACTCTCAACAGCCATGCAGACTGGGGACGTTGGAAATTGTGCATTGAAAGGATAGCATACTGGTGACATCCATTCAACTCTGCCATTAGCTTTGGTTAACCAGGTGTATTTTGAGAAATGTTTCAGAAGAACAGCAGTGTTCCTTCATTTCTCCCTTTCATCTAATCTTGTTCTATTATGGGTTAATGGATTCTCCTTTCTTTAGCAGAGGAAAATCTTCCCCTTCACTGCTGCATTTCCCCTTTTAATTTTAGTCATTGGAAAATTAGCCATGGGATTAGTATGGAAACATCTACTTTAGGAGATGGGCTCCCCCCCACCCCAAATAAAAAGCTATACAGCTATAACAGATATTTCTTGTTCTAAGAAATAATTATTGTGATACAGAAAAGCTTAATGTGGATTCTGTGCTATTTCAGAATTCCATCACTGTAAATAATGCATCAGAATAGAAGAAACTAGGCTGACAGACATCATTACCAAATCAAATCTTTGTTATGATCATAGACCAGCATAAACAGAAATCATCAGATTCTCTGTACTTCAAGCATTTATAAACTTTTTACCAATGTTACCATAATATTTTCGCCAGGAAACCCTGATCATTGTAGTTTCCCATGGATCTTCAGTCTCACTCTTTACAGAACAGTTTAAAAAATCCCCTCATTAGAATAAGAGGCTGTACCAATGTAAATTTTCCTTGAACAACTGAATGGCAGAATGCAACCGGATCAGATAACAAATCTCTTTTCCTAAAAAGTTTAATGGTTTGCTCAAATTCTTTCAACAAACATGGTAAGGTAGCCTTCAAATGTCTGAATCCCAATTGTACTTTGCCCTAGTCATTTTAAGTTTAGTGGGCCCACATACACCAATTTGCTTGTTTATAATAATTAAATACACTGTACAATGCCTTATTCCCATTAAAACAAAACCTTGTTTTCCATGTTTTTGGTTAGTTTTTCTATCCAGCTAAATGAAAACAATAAGTTTACATGTGGTGCCTTTCCTAAAATGGTGCTTTCCAATGGCCCTGCTAGATGAGCAAAATAAAAGCTGCAGTCCAGTTGCAGTCAAAATAAAAGTTGCAGTCCAGCACATCTGGAGGGCATCAGGTTAGGCAAGGCTGATCTACACATATCATGATGCTGATAGGAACTTCTTATGGCTTCTCTTGGCCAGAAAAGGCCTTCATGTTATTATCAAGATTAATTCAAAATGGAATTAAAAACAAATGTGTGGCTTAGTTCTACAAATACACATCAGAGATTATCTGAACATGTCTCTACCAACTCAGCATCCTAGGGATGAAGTTCTACCTCTGAATTATTCTTACAGAAGATTAAAATTATAGGTATCACTGGGCACTTTGATTCTGGTGTTGTCATGAAGGAGCTAGACTAGAAACAGGGAGACCGTGCATTCTAGTCCTGCCCTAGACCTGGAAGTAGACTGGTTGACTTGGGCCACTTTTTCATCCCAACTCACCTATCACCATAGTTGTTGTGAGGGAAATAGGAGTAGTAGTGGTATATATATCATCTTGAGTTGTACAAAAACAGGTGGGATATATCTCAAATGAATAAAATACATTTCCCACTTCTGAAGTCTGCCAGATGCCCTTGGACAAGTATATTGTTCAAGCTAAACTTGATTAGTAAAGACTTTTACAAAGAAAACCTTGTTCTGAAGTTGTAGCTAACAAGTGACTCTTTAGTGAGAAATCAAAGGGAATCTTAAAGATGACTATGAGGTGGACAGTGAAGGAATGAGGCATTTTACAAAGATTGCAATTGTTCTCTATCTAGTAATCCATATAGACAATCAGCATTTTCTTTTTATAATTACAGGAAAAAGAATAATTACAATGATATATAGCTTCCAAGATATTTGGAATTTATCTTAAGCATGGATATTATATTTCCCAGGATCCAAAGCTGGAATGTTATGTTATGGGGATAAAGCCCCATGAAAGCAATGAAGCAGAGCTGCTGACGTTTGTAGTACTATCAACATATTATGATTTTTGCATGTCCATATTTACCATAAAAGCACAACATGCTTTTTTGTTTTTCTTACAGTAAGATAACTGAAAACAATGGACAAAATGGCATTAAGGGATTCTGCTTTATGAAGTACTACATATTTACAACAAAAATGAGGAATGCTATCTATCAAGCTTCTTCTTGGTATTTTAGGGTCAGAAATAATTATTTTTAATTCAAAAGAGGCTCTATTTTATATCTGATAAATCACCTAGGAATTCCAGGATCAGGTGGGAAGCGGGGAAAATATTTTGATAAAAACCATGACAATCCATTTCTGTAATGCTAATAAGAAATTGCATGGATGGTATCAGCAGACATTAACCTTGACTCAAGGGCATCTTTTCTTTTTTATATTTTTATTAAAAAGTACTTGCTTTTTAAGGCTTCAGAAAGCTAAAGTTTGGGAAATAGCTTGAGAATATCACCTCTCCAAAAATAAAAAATTCAGGCCACCAAAGCTTTAGCTATTTTGGATAAGGGTGCAGGCACAATAGACTATGGGCAACACCTGGAGGAATCTCAGAGGCTGGATGAAGGAATGTAAAAAAACTGAGTCAGAAGAAAGAAAGGGACTTCTCCATGTGTTTCTGTGATAGGCATATGACCACTACAACTCCTGCAGTGGAAAAAACTATTAAACTCAGTGAAATTATGTATGGGGACACATGTGCAGAAAAATTCAGTACACTTTTTGCCAAATCCTCAAATATATTAATGTCTAAGATCTGTGATCATGTAGACTTGAGTTCATCATACAGAACTAAAAACATTCCTGACACAGGATTTGTAATGTGTGGTTTTAAAGTCACATTAACTGTGAATGTACAGATTATACTTAAAAATCTTTAAGGAATAAGGACTCTTTTGATTCTTTCTTCATGTTCTACCAATATTATAATTCCATGTGATGCTATAACTCTTGTCATCTCAGATAGTCTATCCTAGTTTGGTGAGCTGTAGATATCTTGATGAGGTATAACTCTGAACATGGACCTGATAGCTCGATTTGATACAGGATGTAGTATAACGTTTTTGGAAAATGCCAGGTTGGAAATTCTTAAGTCAAAAGATTATTGGTGTAGTCCTTCAACATTTTACTGATAGAAATAAGGAACCATGTTCATGTATTTGGAACTATTTCACAAAGAATTTCCGTACTCGTAAAGCATTACTGCATTATTCTTGATGTACCAATATTATCAATTTTTTCTTTCTCCCTTCCTTTTATTCTTGTTTCATTTTCTAGTGAAATGTGATAGCTAATAAACACACAATAAATAATAAATAATTATTATTGGGACATTAAATGGATCTTAGTAATTCTGAAGATATATATATATATATATATATTTGTTTTCTTAAGTTTTCGCGGGTACTTACATGTATGGTATTCACCTTTGTTCAGGTATTTTCCCACATCATTATAGTTGTGCTTTTAAAGTTGTAGCAACGTTTTGGCAGAATCTCATCTGCCATCATCAGGCTTCTGTGTTGTGTTCACCTGTGAGTCTTGGAATATCTGCTTGTAAGTTTCAACGTGGTTTCACTATTCACTCAAGTCCCGATAAAAAAAACTCTTGAAATCATCAAAAATATATACCAACCAG